CCAGGTGGACAACTTCAGCAATCAGGAGCTCCTCAGTTGCTCATAGAAAATCCCACCTTGGAGTTTACAAAGACTTATGGGTAGAAAATCCACACAAAGTAATTTACTATACCACAGTATAATTATTACAGTTACACCAGTTTTGATTCTGCTTTGTCACTTACGGTACCATAGCCCTTTCCCTTCGTTCTTGTGTTCTCCAGTGGTCTCGATGTTGCACAGGGTAGGTCCAGTGTCGCCGAGGCTGTGGTTGGCTGTGTGTCCTAGCAGTCCTGCCCCAGTGGCCTCTGTGCTCGGCCATGCTGAGTGGGCTGTGCCCCGGCTTTGGCCCTGGTTCCTGCCTCTTAGCTCCCTGGTGTCCACTCTTCCCCTCCCTGGGTGTGGTGCTTCCTCATTTCCGGTGCTCCATCGTTGGTGCAGTGATCAGAGACCAGGTTGAGCTCCTCTGCTTCCCCGCAATGGTGAACAGGATTGGCAAGGAGCGCGGGACGGGTGATGCAGGCGGGGCACTGAGTGTACTGACCCACTTTCCCCCCAGGGCTTCTTGAGCAGGCACCCCATGGCCCCACGCTTCTGGGTGGGGGCCCAGCGAGGACCCCAAGGCTGGCACTGGACTGACGGGGCGCCACTGCTGCCACAGCTGTAAGTGACCCAGGACCTGGGGGTTTCAGTCCCACTGTGGGCCCGGGTGTGGCAGGAAGCCTGGTGGCGGGGGCCTTCTTCCTCTGCTACCTGGGTCTGAGCGCCTGCCCGGTCCTCCATGTGTCTCGACAGCCTCTGAGCCCACCCCACCAGCACCATGCAACCCTGCACCTATGCTGCTTGGCCCCATCCCTGCTTGAGTCCCCAACAGGGCTGGCACCGTTCCCCCCCCCCCCCCCCCCCCTCCCCCCCCCTCCTTCTCTATGCCCCCACCCCCCACCTCAGGCTCCCCGAGGAGGATGAGAAGCGGCCGGATCTGAACTGCGGGGGCCTGGAGGAAGGCAGGCTGGTGGCTTTAGACTGCGCTGACCCCTGGCCCTGGGTCTGTGCCCGGGCACCAGAGTGACTCAGATGGCCTTTGCTGGCTATAGGGACCCGTGGCCCTGGGGAGGCCATGAAGGAGCCAGGCAGCAGGATGGGCCTGGCGGGAAGCCACACATTGGGGAAGGAGGTGCTCAGTCAGTGGCACTGGAGAGGTTGGTTGATATCCCTCAGCCTTAGCTGTCCCTTGGCAGAGTGACCCTCCCGCCCTCCCAGCACCCAGTCTGCTCACAAGGTGGCATCTGGGCTCGTGCGACCTGCTGGAGTGAGCCTGGCCGGCTGTGCGCTGGTACCACGCAGCAGGACGCCACTCTGTGACCTCACTTCCAGTAATGTGGCATGGTGGAATGAGCAGCCCTCCCTACAGAGAGCCAGCCAAGGGCACAGGAGGTGTGTCTGGGGCATATAGGGGAGGAGCCCGGAGAACACCCTGGCAGTGTAGGCAAGGTTGCGGGGAAGCGAAGGGCTGAGTGAGCAAGGTGGAGGGTTAAAGTATCACTTCCCCACAGCCGTGGGGACAGGCAGTCTGAAGGGGCCTTTACGCCGCGGGGGGCGACAGGAGGCTCGGAGGGCTGCTCTCTGGAGTCTGCACAGACCCTACAGGACGACTAGAGGCTGCACCTGTGTTTTCCCTTAGTGCCAGTGGTTCCCACAACCCTCAGGTACAAGCCTGCCTTTCCTCTTTAAAGACAGACCATGCACCCTTATTTCTGCCACACGGGGATGCCCACTCAAAACGCTGGGCTGAGCTTGGACAGCCAGCTTGTACAGGGCTGCATGGACCGTCTGGCAGAAAGTGTGACTTCAGGCTCATCCGGCACGACTGTCCGTCTCCATCATCTCCATCACCATGTTCCTTCCCCTTGAGTGTCCCCGGTGTTACTGTACCTGGAGAAACCGCTTTACGTCTGGACTGAACAAAAGCACGCAGAAGTGGCCCACCTTGCCTTCTCTCAACACCACTCAGAGAGGGAAAGTGGTTTGCTCAAAGTCACACAGCTAGGAAGTGGAAGGTCTAGAGTGAAATCTCATTCTTTGCCAAGGCCGTACTCTCTGTTCCAGCACACACTGCTGAGGATTTCAGTGGGAGATGGGGGTGGCCGTCAAGTGGAGTGAGGCCTGACTAGGAGATGTCATAACCTATCCGCTGCTTCAGGTACCTCACAGCTCTTTATCCCAGAACATCTCCCTTGTGATTTTGTGAGTTGACAGGTGGTTGTGGTTGACACGTGTTGCCTGGAGCCCCAGGATGGCTGGAAGGTCCAAAATGACCCCAGTCACCTAGCCAAAGTCACAGAGCCAGCCCACGTTCAAGGGCAGGGGAAGTACAACTGATTTGTCTGTGGGAGGAGCAGCAAAGAATTTTCATTTTTCTTCTGTCCCACCTTTGGTGAAAAAGTAGAGCAGACTTCTTCTTCATTTGCTTTTTATCAGAACGACTTACCTTTGAGCAGGGAGTATCGTCTCCATTTAGGTATGTCACTGGCTCCTGGTGGGCCTAGGTCTAAAGCCACCAGCTGTCCTCCCATGTCCAGTGCTAAGGGCAACACTGGGTGAGTGGAAATTCTGAGTTAAAAAACAGCCACATCCAGCAGAGTTGTTGATTTTACCAATGGACTGTCAGAAATACTGCACAATACAAAGTGTTTTTCAACCTTGTGGGACAACTGATTCTGTCAGAACTGTCCAGTTGTGCTCACAGGAGAGAGCAATCCCTAAAAGTGAGGCTGAAAAATCAGCCAGCCACATGAGCTGGTTTTCCAGTGCATTTGGCAGGTGAAGTCCTAATCCTGTGAATTAAGGACTATTTCCCTGCTTCTGTGGGACAGGAACTGTGGCCTTGGGCCAACACAACGTGGAAAGTTAGAGCTATGTAAACCCAAGACTAAGGGGCTGCCGTCTATGAAAGACTGGACTAGAAAAAGTCACCTCGGATGACAAGGCAGCTGCTGTGTCCTCCCTGGATGAAAAACACTTGCCCTGCGTGCATGACACCCTACACTTGGGTCTCCGTTGGTGTGTCTTTCAGAAACGTCCAGATTGAGAAGTTAGCATCAAGATTGCTTAGGCTGTTGACACCCTTGGAGTAGGGCAGAAGCCAACTCCAAAGTTGGCTCTGTAGGGGTGCTCCCATAATCCACTGTTAGGGATCTTCCTTGAGTGGACTCATTATACAAGATGAAAGACATGGAAAAGTGTTCAGTCTAAGAAAACAGATCAGACGGGACTTTTCAAGAACCAAATAGAATTTTTAGAAATAGTCATTGACAGTAAAGCTAGCGGACAGATTAAGTAACAGAAACAGGTGAAGAGACAGTAAAGTGAACTGGAAGATGTATCCAGGGAAAGTACCTACAATGCATCTGGAGAGATTGGAAATAACAATGAGAAGGTAGGGGGTAGACAACAGAAGACAAAGACGAGGTAACATCTCTGACAGGATTAACTGTGTGTGTACCATGGATCCCTTCTCAAAGTCATGTTTCTAAAACCATAAAATATTTTTTAAAATCTACGAGTATAGTTTTAAATATATTTTTAAGTCAACCTTAATGTGGTACATGAGCATGCAACTCGGTGAGTTTTGACAACTGTATCCACTATCCATTGAACCGCTAGCTCCTCGGCAGTCCCTGGACAGGTGCAAACGGTTCAGCACTCAGCTACTAACACGAGAAAGGCCTGGCAGTTTTCTTAAAGGTCACAGCCAGGCTCGTGACCCGGAACTGACAGCAACTGGAGAAGTTAACGATGCTTCACTTCTGACGTGCTGCTGCCGGGTTGCAGTGCGGCGAGTTGCTTACCGTGGCCGAGCCAGCATCCTCCATCCTGACATGTCGTAAACCACAGTCTCTGCCGTTTCTCAGGTTGAGATTAATCTTGAGTCCCGCCTCGCTGGGGGGTGTGACTCAAGTCCCACCATCCGTTTCCTTGAGCTTATGGGTGTGTGCTGGAAAGGTTCTTAACTCTGGTCTTGCGTCTGGTTGGTTGGATTTGTTGCCTCCCCCTGGACTTGGGACGGCAGCTGGTCCTCTGAGCTGCCAATGTGGTTGGCAGCCCCTCCAACCACGAGAGCAGGGAGAATCCTCCCGACCTGCCCGTGGACTTGGACTTGCCTGGCTCCCAGTCTCCATCGGGATGCCGTCTCCTTGGGAGCTTTTGAGTTCCGTGAGATGTTAATGAAATACGGAACCCTGAGGAGGGAGAGAGCCGAGGGCAGGAGGAGGAGCTGATGTCCGAGATGACGGAGTGGCACGGCAGTTTGGGAAAACTGGACATTCAGGACATCTCTATCCCCCACCTCATAGGGACAAGCCTTGTGCTGATCCTTCTAAAAGATTCAAGTAAATGCGTTTCCCAAAATGTCATATTAAAACTTTTCCAACAGTATTTAAACTGTATTTGTGCTAATATATTTTTTTTCTTTTGAACGTTACTTTGTTGGACTTTAATGTTAGGCTAAGTTCATTAAAAGACTTGTTTTTGTTTGCTGAGCTCTAGAGTAATTAACACTTGTTGTATGGTGGGGACCGCAAGGAAGGGATCAGAGTCAAGGAGTCAGGTCAAAAGAGTGAAGGGCCAACCTGAGCAGGCTGTCACCAAGACTGTAACTGCCATGGACTGAAACACACCAAGGTTTTAGATAGATAGTTAGGAATCAAACCTTTCTGAGTATAAAGTATGTTTCAATCCATGAATTCTTAATAGTTTTTTTAAAAAAACTTCACCTGGTCACTTTCAGAGAATGCTGAAAACTGTCCCATACAACCCATACCTCAGGACAACTACTGTTAATGAAGTCTGCATCATAGACATCCTCTAGATAGTGGAGAGGGCTAGAATGTTGCCATTTTGAAATCCGAAATGCAGTTTCATCTAGGTGATGATCATGGCTGGTACAACCACAGGGCAGACAACCATCCTGTGCCCCTTGATGGAAGCACACCTACTCCTACCTTGTCATCCAATGCATTGCGTTTACGACAATAATAAACCTATCTCTGCACATTAATGGCGTGCATCCGGCAATAACAAATGCTGAGGTGCTGTGATGTGTCACCTTGGCTGGGCCATGATTCTCAGTGGTTTGGCAGTTACATAGTGATGTAATTTGGTAACTGTAATGAGGTAATTTGGCAGTTCTGTAATAATACATTCCTCCTTTTGTAATCTGATGAGATCATCTTTCATTTTCACGTAATGGCCTGGTCTTTGGAGCATGTCGATGACCAATCTTAACCTTTTAACCTTCACAACCACCCTGACAAGGAAGTTGCTGTTTTCATCTCCAGTTTGACGGATGAGGTTGCTGAGGTTTAACAAAGTCCTTCCCTGTGGGGACAGAGCGTGCTGATCAACAAACAAGAGTATCTGATTCTTTTTGTAATTTTAAGTAGGAAATGGACATTCTGGATGCAATTTGCAGGTGCAAGAATGAGAATTTTGGTAAGGGGAGGGGCGATGAGTGATGGGTGTGGTGCTGGGGCCAGAAAATCTGTAAATTACAAGCTTTGCTTGGTCAGCAACAGAAGAAGAGAGTGAACTTCTGGTTTACCTTAGGAAGCTGATAGCTGCTGTCCAAAGTCAGCAAACCAAGAAATAGCAGACTAACCATATTATGTAGAAGTATGAAGACAAATACTGGAAGAAATGGAAAACAATAAAGTGGTTGCCTTAAAAGTAGTCAATGGTGATAGATGTCAGGATAGCCGTTGTCTTGGGAGTAGGGCAGCATTAACTGGGAAGGGCCGCAGGGGCATTTCAGGCTCCTGGAAATGGTCTGCCTCTTGATCTGGTTGGTAGCTGGGTGTACACACATAAAAATTCACTTCTACACTGAAGATAATACGTAGTTCACTATGTAGTTTTAGAAAACTGATTAAATGCTTGCCTCTGAAGAACAGGAGTGGGGTTTTAAGGAACTGGTATTTTTCCCCAAAATACACACCTTTCGGTACCATTGAAACCGTATTTCCATACTACTTTGATCAAAACAGAAGTCACGAGTTTTTAAAGAAGGTCCACAGATTCTGACAGGCATGCAGCCTGAGTTGAGAACATCCAGTTTTAAACTTACTCCTGGTATTTTTTCACAGCCTGTAATTTCTTCCACTGAGGTGAATTCTCACACATTCCAGCCTCTCCTTCCAAGCATGCCTTTCCCTCTCCACAAGACAGAAGTTGGAATATTTCAAAGCTGCCAATGTGTAGTAAGATTCTCACCTAAGAACACTGGCATCAGCACTGGCTTGTTCTTCAGAGCTCTGGAAGGCAAGTGGTTTCAATAATCTTTCAAGGTGTATTCATGTTGGTGCATGTCAGTAGTTCCTCCTTAGGGATACGTCCTTGGGGATAGTCCCAATGTATCTACTCACTCTTTGTTGATGGATCAGTCACTGGTCTCCAGTTTGGGGCTGTTACGAATAAAAGTGCTATGAAGATGCAAATCCAAGTTACCATGAAGACGGAGGTTTACATTTCTCTTCAGAAGTGGAATTACTGGGTCCTGTCATAAGGATAGGAGCCCTGGTGACACAGTGGGTAAGTGCTCAGCTGCCAACCAAAAGGCCAATGGTTCAAACCCACCAAGGCTCTGTGGGAGAAAGATGTGGCAGTCTGCTTCTGTAAAGATTTACAGCCTTGGAAACCCCGTGGAGAAGTTCTGTCCTGTCCTGTAGGGTCACTATGAATCGCACTCAACTAACTAAATGACAATGGGGTTTTTTTGGTTTTACGGTAAGGATGGAAGGAACCCTGGTGGTGCAGTGGTGAAGCACTTGGCTGCTAACCAAAAGATCATCGGTTCAAATCCAGCAGAGGCTCCCATAAAGACCTACAGCCTAGAAGCCCCTATGGAGCAGTTCTACTGTCACACAGGGTCAGTATGAGTCAGAGTCAACTTGATGGCTGTGACAGTTAAGTCTGTGTGTCAACTTGGCCAGACCATGATTCTCAGTGGCTTAGCAGTAACAATGGAGTCATCCTGTGTGATGAGATGTGATACAATGTAATCACCTCCATGATGAGACGTGCCATGAGCAGCCAATCGGTTGAAAGGACATTTCCTCAGGTGTGGCTGGCTTCCAATATATGCACGGACATCCTGGAACATTCTTCGGCTTTCTGCTACATCTGGATCTTGCTTCTAGCTCATTATCTCCCTGGACTTGAACCAGTGGTCTGCTGCACTGGCTGCCAATCACAGCCTGCGATCCAACAGTCTGCCATGTTACCTGCCAATCTTGGGTTTGTTAGCCCCTGCAGTTGCCTGAGTCAGGAGAAGCCTCCAGCCATGGACTTGGGACTTGTCAACCTCTACAACTGCATGAGCCATTTCCTTGAAATAATTTCCTTCTCTCTCTCTCAAAGTTTCACTGGTTTTGCTTCTCTAGAGAACCCAGCCTAGGGCAATGGCACACAACAACATGGTAAGGGTATGTTTAAATTACAAGAACCACCAAACTTTCCCAAATTAGCTGTACCAGTTTGCATTCTCACCAGCAAAACACAAGAGTTCCAGCTGCTTCACATCTTCTCCAATGCTCAGTGTCTTTTTTGACTTATAGCCATTCTGATATTTAGTGGTGTGTCAACGTGGTTTTAATTTATGTTTTCCTGATAACTAAAGAACGTATCTTCTTGTGTGTTGACTGGACATCAATGTATTTTCTTGATAGACATGGTTCCGCTATCATGTCTGAGAAACGCTGCCTAAAAAGCTTTTTTACTGCTCTGGATTAAACAGCTAATGTTGAAAGCTATTAATAAATAGCTTATTGAAAAATAAAGGACTTAAAAATGGAATTTGGAAAAGATAAAGTTGAACCTTGGTTTCAGGACCAACAGCCAGAGATGGAAAATGTCTCTTTGATTTGAGGGGGTGAAAAAAAAGTGGAAGTTTTTCAGTCAGCTGTGACTGTTGATACAGGTCAGCAAAGGATCCTTGGGGAAGGGGATCTTACTGCAGGAAAATAGTCCCCATGACAGCTCCAAGGACCAAATGTGACTAAGCTTACTTATGCTTTCTACCACAATAACCAAATACAAAAGTGCCAAAAATTGTGTGTGCACAAGAAAGGCAAGATACTGAGGTTTTAAGGTTCTAATTCCGAGTGGTTGGCCTATCTCAAGGATGATTCAAAAATAGCCTTTTTGTGCCAAAGTCTAAGTACTGGAAGCATCTAAGGAACAGAACCGTTCCAAACAGATTCCCAATGAGTCACTCACTGAGGGGCCATGAAGCTGAAGTGTCCACACGGACAGCCCAGATAATGGTGTGCCTCACTGGCTATCAACTGCCTGTCTGTCACAGGTTGGGCAGCCACACTGCACTCAACTCACAAACGCAGCTGGAGCGAAGAACAGTGTGGTACTTTTTAGTCATTTGTATGATTAGGCAGAGAGCAAGTATTCAATTCCAGCTGCATGAATGTAATAATGCTACAACATATGTTCCAATCTTGTTTTAAAGATCTCATTCCAGCTGTATCACAAACTACAACCAGTCAGCCTTCAGTAGGGGTTACAGTCCCTGGAGAAGGATGCGATGCTTGGTAAAGTAGAGGGCAAGCAAAAGAGAGGCAAACCCTCAACAAGACGGACTGAGAAGGTGGCTGCAAAAATGGACTCAAATGCAGCAACAGTTGCGAGGACGGCACAGACCAGGCAGCGTTTCATTCTGCTGCACGTGGGGTCAGCATGAGTCAGAAACAACAGCACCTAACGACATCGTCATGGGCTCTTCCTGGCATCCACCAGCAAACCCTGTGGCTCTTACTCCACACCCCGCTGCTCTAAGTCCTCAGTACTTGTACTTTTCCTTTCTAGGAGAGCACAGCAGAACACCAGGAACCAAGCAAATAGAAAAACATTTCTCTGCAACCAAAATACAGGGAGAAGGGAAATAGGCCAGCATCAAAGCCCATTAAACTCTCTAAACTGAACATGCGAAGCCCAATATAGCAGCATACCTTCAGTCAATGAGGCCTAACTTAGTACACTGGGGAGAAAAGAGGGGTGGCCCTTGCAGAGGTAAGTGTGACGTCACTGAGAATGACTCAGTTCCTCTTTCTCGCTGAGGTCTACCTTCCTGTCACATCAAATCTGTCACATGATGAGGATCAATGGCAGCACCAGTTACTGAAGAGGTCTCAGTTCCTAGTATTCACAGAACCAAGTGTCACTACACCATGGGTCGTTTTCCTCAAATTTCCTAGATTCATAAGTGATACCTGCCAACTGGGGTTCCAGTCACTGGTGGGTAAGAGCTCTTCCATGCAGTGATCACTAGTCTCATGTTGGTTACAGTGTGTTTATTTCACTTTGCTAAATGAGAAGACAGATCGACCGACCAGTTTCTTCTGCAGGCCTGGTCCTTCTGTGCAGTGCTTGGTCCAGACAGCCCTGGTCAGCAGGGGCCCCCAGGGACCACCAGTTCCTATGGAATCTAGGCAAGTCTGTTATTTCCTTTGGTGCTTTGCACAGTGAAGCACCGTTAGTCACAGAGGAAATGCCCACAGCCAACAGTTTTAGTGATAATTTACTACACAAGTTAGTTTTAATGATGGTGGCGGTGATTGTTTTTCAATTTATTATTATCTTTTTTTTTTTTTTTTTAACAATAAGGGTGTAGCCTTTATACTCCACACACAAAATAAAACAAGTGCTTACGAAAGAGTCCCTGCCCCCTCCCCCCTCAAAACATCCTGAACATAGCAATTCAATACAACAGAAAAATCAAGACAGGTTTGATTTCAAAATTTCAATAAAAAAGCAAAAGTATGTAATGCAACAGCTGGTCAACTCCCAACCCTACACAGGAGCCTTAAACAGGAAGGAAAAATCCAACATGTTCGCCTTCTCCAGCACACACTCCAGCACTGATGCTCTCAAGTGCCATCAGCTAACGATGGGGAACCGGAACAGAACCCCGGAACAGAAGCCATCCTGCTTCCCTGCCCCCCTTTGCTCTTACAATTGGAGGGAATAACAAAAGTCAGAGGAAGAATCAAAAAGAAAAATTCTCAAAGCTGCTGCTGCTTGGACTAAAAAGGAAGACAGCGTTTTACAAATGTTCAGAGAGAAAAAAAAAAAAAAAAAAAAAAACCCAAGGCAGGTAGCACAATTCATTCACTATCACTCCTACGACAAAGAAGAAATCAGAGATCGGCGTCTTATATAAAACTGTGAACAGAGAATCCTTTCAGAACCGCATTACAGGGTCACCAGAAACTATGGATGTCGTTTTCAGCTTCATCAAGGCAAACAAGTTCCATTCTGATCACGTCAGACCCCGTACATCTCACCTAGCTGGAACGGTGTCTGGGCTGCTCACCGTGCACCCCGACAGCTGTAAACTAACGACAGTGTTTCACTCAGAGGAAGCGTGAGGACACTGCTGCTATATCTCCCCTGCTTCACGCTCTTCCGAGCTCCTCCCGTCTTCCGATCTGCCGTTCGCGCTCTCGTAGGACCGCTTCTTATCTTTCCGATCTCTGTCACGAGGTGATCTGTCTCTTGAACTCCTGTCTCTGTCACGTGATGCTATGTCTTGGTCTCTGAATCTTTCTTTTGAGGATCTGAAAAATATTAATTTGAGGAGCAAAGTATGTTGGGAAACCCAAAACCCAAGGGAAAGAGCAGGATAACTATTAAGCTACTGTTAACTGAAGGAATACAGAACACAGCCAATAAAGACCGAGGAGCCAGCTTTCTGACAGAAAACAGCCCCCCAGGTCTAATGAGGACACCAGCATAGGAGATGGGTGACAACCCACGGCCAAGGGTCAAAGTGTAAGCTAAACTAACGTCTACAGGATACTCTGAGGATCTCAGAGGCAACCAAAGATCTCTCAAATTTATAAACACATATTTAATATAAAAATAACATGCAAGTAACACCTTAAAAAGTGAAAGCTAGTATAAATTTAAATATGTATGTGTATATATCTATATAATACATAAAAAACAAAATACAGAGCCTATAGGCTGGGCAGCATCAGCGAATAGATGGACTGAGGAGTCAGCAAACGTGCTCTGTACAGGGCCAGATGATGAGTTTTTAGGCCTCACTGCTCACATCCTGGTTCCTGCAACCTCAGCTTCATTTACCACAGTTGGCAGGCTGTACAAAACAAGCCAGAGACCAAATGCGGTCTGCAGGCAGCCTTTTGAAAAGAGAACTACTTACTTAATGATATGGCTTTAAATAACTATTATTTTTAAAATCAGCAATATTCCATGAGTTCACTCAGCCAACACACAAAAAAGACTGGAAGACAGAGAGACCATCAGTCTATAATAATTGCTGATTACCCACAGTGACTATTCCATTCCCATGCCCAAGTTCCATGAGGAAGGTAAATAAAAAACCACCTCACACCAGAAACTCAATCAGCAGGAAGATCAAAGGGCATTATGGGATCCGAACAAAAATGGACTTGACACTCAACACCCACACTGACCCAGCAGCACCGTGTTACAGTTCCTTGGGTCTCTGCAGGTGACATGGTACTTTCCCATGATTATGTAACTAACCCATGCTCAGACTTGGGATCCGAGGCATTGCCAAGAACTGAACACATAATACTTTCAACTTCTAAGAAAGCAAATAGTAACACTGTACTCAGTTTTAGAATATAAGTAAGGGCGGTTAAAACCAAAAAGGCTGAAAGATGAAATAATGCCACACTTTGGGCATTCTATTCAATTACGGTTTTAATAAACTTAATTTAAAACAATGGATTTTTTTTTTTTTTTTAAAAAAACAAAAAACCACCCAGTGCACCTCTAGTTACACTAGCCCTCACCAAGCCTTTTGAGGGGAAAAAATACGGAGAGAGAGATGAGAGAGATGATACCTAAGAAGGAGACACTAGATGCTGGAAGTCCCGGAAGGTCAGTAACAATAACTGAAAAATACGAGACGAGCATCAGCTAGCGTTCTGTGAGCGCGACGTTCCCCACGGCGGGCGGCTGGCCCAGGCATTATCCGCTCCAACTCCCCCGGTCCTAAGCTCTACTCAGCAGATGGGAAAGAGAGGGGCGGGCATTAAAGGGCTTTGCCACGGCTACCGAACCCAAGGAGTCCGACTGCAACCTGCCTTATACATGTGAGTCTAGCTTTTGGTAAAAACAACGATGCTTTAAAGGACAGTAACTTGAATATCAAAAAACCGGAAGTGTTCTTGAGAAAACTGAACTTTTAATAGTTTTACAAAAATAATCCTGTTGATCAGCATTAGCTGAGGAGTGTTGTGTGATGACATTTTCCTGTGTACCTTCTTCAACTTAGGTTTAAGGTAACACAGTCACAGAAGGTGAGGGACCTCACTGACTCTTCCAGCCCCACCACAGGTAAGGCCATTTGTACACTCAGCTATGAAGAGCAATGGCAGGTGCTCCGGCCCACAGGAGGAAGTGCCCAGACGCTATCAGCTGGGGGTTGACTCTCCACACTAGCGTGCAGGCAAGACTTGGGCAAGTTTCTACAATCATCTTTCAATGCACTGAGGGTGGTGTCCAGATCTTCAGTTTGCAAGAGTCTAAGATAAGCTACAAAGCCCACTGTGAGCAACTGTGTCCCCTACAAATTCCCTCCTCATTCTTCTAGGCTGCTGCTTTTGATACTCAACCCGGACCGTTTTCCTACTTGGTTTTCCCCATGCACTTTAACTCTAGTCGAGGTGTGCCCGTCACCTAAGCCACTTTTTACACTCTGGTCTTTCTCTCGAGACTCTTATTCACGCTGCAAGTTACGGGCCGTTTGCCCATCTAGCGTTGTCAGTGATGGGTGCTGTGTTCTAACTCGCACAGCAAATGCCTTAGAGCAACCTGAACAAGCTGCTGAACCACGTGACACTTGTTTATTGGGCCTCATCCTGTAGAAATTACACAGTTATAAAAAGCCCTCTCATGGACTATTTAGAACAAGAATGTAACAAATGAAAAATAAACACTTAAGTATTAACCAACTCCACTTATAAGTGATTTCTGAGAATGGCTAGTTCAGGGTAAAAAAAGAAGAATTTAAACCACTTTCTGTGGATTCTATCAAAAACGGTACATGGATTACTCCTCAGGACATTTAAGATCAGCAGATAGCAGGTACTTAAAACACATTTATCATACATACTTAAGGAAAGCTATCAAGAACGATTTTAAGCAGTTTACAGACGTACCACAGAAATGATCTGGCTGGAGGGCACATGTGCCCTGAGAGTTCTATGTGCCCTGAGAGTTCTACGTGCACTGTGGGTGCTAAGCACCCCCCCGTGCGCCACTCCTGTCTGCTGCTTAGTCCTTCCACACCAGCACCCCTCCGTGCGCCACCCCCGTCTGCTGGTCTGTCCTTCCACATCTCATCGTGTGCTGCCTTCCTTGTGTCTTACATTCTCTCCTCGTGCCAAAGACGTCATATAGCTGCCTTCAGACTCTGAATGTGCCCTGGCAAGCTAACGGTAGGTAACATGCGTATCTACAGTGCAGATTAAACCAGAGTAAACTAGAATGTGTCTGCACCAGTGCACAGAAAAAGTGCACTATCTCCCAGAAGTCGGGAAAACCACGAGTCAAACAAAGCTCAACAGCTTTGTTAATGAAGGCCTTCTCAGAGCCCCCACCCGCCTGTGTGCATTGCGAGAACTCTAGATGCTGGTGTCTGAAGTTGTTTACCTACAAAGCACTTTGTTCCAAGATGCACTAAAAATAAAGCAGCACCTCTGCACACATCAATCCTAATTTCTTACTCTGGTTCCTAAGCATCTAACTGCCCAAACAATCGGGGGAAAATGTCTCAAACCTACCCATGAATGGGTACATATTACCAGAGGCAGGTTTCAAATCAGTAACATCCAACTTTTCACATAAAGGCAGCTGCCCGTCCCCTTAGTGATTGATACGTTAATACCTCCTCTTGGAGCATTCCCTGCTCCTGTCTCTAGAACTTTCCACATAAAGGCAGCTGCCCGTTCTCAGTGATACGTCAATACCTCCTCTTGGAGCGTTCCCTGCTCCTGTCTCTAGAACTGTGCCGGCTTCTCTGGTGGCTGCGGCTGCGGCTGCGGCTGCTGGAGCGGGACCTGTGGCGATGGCGTTTCTCACGAGACTTGGATCGAGTTCTTCTCTTCCGTTCCCGTGACATTGAGCGAGATCGATGTCTGCGATGCTCCCTGGACCTGGACCTACAAAGAGACGAGGTTGATCTGGATGGATGCCAGCATTTAGCCCGTAGCCTTACTGTGCACTATGTTTCTCATTTACTAAAGCCTTTTCCTCAGCAAAATTATCCCTCAGTAGTCCTATTTCATGTCAGTTCTGCTTCCAAGTCAGCCAAAGCAACACTAAAATACGCTGCAGGTCTATGAGGTAACTACATACTAGAATCTGAAAAAGAAATCCAACACCACTTCAGACTGAGGGGAGGAGGAGTGGGCAAGTGTGGAAATAGGGAGAAGAGTGAAGAGGAGACGGAATAGTGAGGTCAGGGGTGAATGGGCCTACACTGGGAGAAACTTCATTTCTGGTCCAAGTATCTAAAGATATTCTCTGCAGAAATACTGTAAATCCTTCCCAACGGAGTGGCTTGTCTTAATCAATCTGGGAACAAGGGCAGCACCAGCACTGGTGTCTCTACGGCTCATCCTGGACAGTATAAATTCACTCCCATCACTGGTCTCATTTATCTCTTCTAGTTTTACAACACATGAAGCAGAAATGTCAGAAGAACTCTGAAAGGTACGAAGGGCTATTTAAACTGAGGCAAAGGCTGGTGGTGTTTTCCCCTAACGGCAAACGATTTTAGAGTGGATTTTAGAATTTTCCCGATGCTCTGAAGCCAGACTTAGAAGAGACTGTCAGTAGCTAGTGTTCCTCACACTTGTGTTCCTTTAAAATCCTCACGTCTTACTGCTCACAGGATGCAAACCACATTTTCCTGTTACGTTGTTCTTCATATTCTCCTCTGATGACACAACTACAATATGAACACAGTTCTATGTACGTGCCTCGGCTTCTCTACAGACCCTCTTCCCTTCTTCAACAGCGTGAGGCACGGCGGGTATTATCAGTAGCTACGCTCATGCCACCCTCAGGTACGTTAGTCAAAGCTAACGAAACAAACGTGCACCAGCACTCGTCCCTCACGGTGCGTCCCAGGCTATCATGGAGCAGAGCATGAGGAGCAAAGAACTGCAGGGCAAAAGGAACAGAGCTCTGATACATGCCTCCACATGGACAAAGCCTGACAACACGACGCTGCATCAACAAGACACAAGGACAAGCATGGCATGAAACCCACAGGAGGTATCTGGGACAAGTGACAGAGAGGAGAAGTGTTTGTTCAGGGTGCTGAGGGAACTCTGCACGCAGACAGCAGGGATGGGGACGTAACAGCACGGGTATGCTTTAATGCCACGGAACTACACACTTCAGATCAGCTAAAATGGCACATTCTGTGTTACGTATATACTTCAACGTCAGAAAAATTTATATTAAAAAAGTTTATAGAAAACGAAACTGGTGGGTTAAGGTCCAGTCCGAAGACCAGCTTCTAAGTCCAGGCATCTCCTCTTACCATGCTTTGGCCAACCCACCTCTCACAGTTCTCCCTTAATACCAGGGCACAGGGTGTTACTCTCCTCTGACAAAACGGAATCACAGCTCAACACTACCTTCTGGCCAATTTTCTACTCAAGTGACACTACTCACACTTGATCTATAACATACACTACCAAACTATTCATTCTCATTAATTTTAAAAAACACTTAGTCTATAAAAGATTATCTTTGAAAAACGAAGCCTCACTCCTGGCCCCTATCTTGCATGACACCTACCTTTTGGGATTCTTGCTATGTGATCGGGACCTAAAAAAGAATAACAACTACTTTCAGAAAAGTGACTATGTTGTTGTTGTTACAGAAAACAAAAATTAAAGTGAGAAGAGCGTAAGATACCGTGACAATTATTTGTCCTGGTTTCTACTTTTTATATTAGTTTTATAAACATAAGGCATACACTTACATACCCCAAATTTTCCAAAATGCACCCTAAGCCTACAGACTGCTTCCTGGGTCATCCTCTAGTCCATGTGCCCTGGAAGACAAGACAAACCCAGCACCTGACAGCTCTCTGCCTCTCTGGAAGCCACCTCTCAACCTGGAGAAACTGTCATCTCATCTGCCATTTCTTCTGTCCCTCAGGAAAGGCTCTAAGTTGCATGTACTTCAGAACTTCAAGTTCACCCTATGATCCCTAGAACAGCAACTCGGTCTTTCACCATGTGCTCTTCCACAGGAAGAGCCACGCTACTGTCCCAGCACAGCTGATCAACGCTCAGTAAATGCCAGGGGCTAACGTTCTGGTCCAGGAAGCCAGAGAGGCGTTCTGTGCTGACAGCATGGCCCTGGACTCAGCCACCTACCACATGACACCAGGGCAGATCACATGCCTCCTCAGCTGAGTCTGCCATGTGCAGGAGAGGGACGGGAATACAGCACCCACAGTGGGGACTAACACAGGTCAACTGTTGGGACAGGGCCTGGCACACAGTGAGCACCACTGAGGACAGACATTGTCATCATCTCCTCTCCTGTAACTGGCCTTGCAACATCCTCACCTGCCGGACGTAGTTATGATATGACCTCCAGGCCAAAGGCAGATTAATGAAAATATTTTTTAACATTTCTGGAAGAGGGGTGCCTTTTATAATCAATGTAAAATACACCTGCCACTCAGCAAGCAGAGAAGGGTGGGGGCACGTACTTTCTCGTCACTTACGAAAGCGACACACTGTCCAGCAAAGAACTAAGTTTCTCATCCGACCGCTGTCTCTGTCGGATCATCTGTATCACTGGAACCACAAAGGTGGGATTTTAACATCAGTTGAGATTCCCAATGTCCTACAATGTCAGGCCATATTCCCATGGAAACCTAATGAACAGAAGAGCTTGGAGATGAAGCTCTGAGATAAAAATGTACAGCAAATGGAGGACTGACAGCTTTCCTCCTAGAACAGGAAGACAGCCCACGGAGCAGTGGCTCACTCTGCCACGGACAGCACCAGACCACTGGTTACGAGCCACGCAACACAAATGGAGCCATTCAAACATCCTGAAACAGACCAAGCATAACACGTTCAAGGCTTGCACAAAACTGGTGGGACCTGGTCAGCTACTGGGATAGTTTAGGCATCTCAGGTTCCACATCTACTAACTGTGAAAAGAGGTATGTATTTACTTTTCAGAGATGTGCGATACGATGGAGGGAACACAACGAATAAGAAATCCAGGTAAGACCTCTAAGGCATGCCACTCCCTCCTAAGGTCGTTTGAGAAGCTACCAACAGGCTGGGAAAACGTGGCCCCCAGGAGGCTAGCAGATTACAGCTGCCGAGTAACAGCGACTCAGAAGAGTTAGTCTGCCTGCACATGGAAGGTGCATGAGGGTGTCAGTGAAGGGAGACTAAGACATTTCTTAAGATTCCGAGAACTGAAGAAACACAGGATCAAAATTCAATGTTAAATCACCCACGAATCAAACAAACACCTTTTATCGATAAATATGTATCATACAGGCAAGTACAAACAGTTCTATGCCGACCTGCTGTAAACTTGGCCTGTTCCAAAAATCAGAGGACTAGCAAAGAGCTTTGCAATACGTATCACAAGACATACAAATGTGGAGCATTTAGCTCACGTTTCCATACGTTCTGAAGAAAACCATGTTTTGAGTTAAAAGTATAAAACTCTGTTCTGCACGATAATCTCTTTAAAAGAGTAAACACAAATGTCCCACATCTCATAGCAGATTTCTTGCTGCCACATGCTGTCAGGCTGATGCCGACTCACCGCAACCCTGTAGGATGGGGCATAACTGCCCACCGGGTCTCCAAGGCTGTCATCTTTACAGGGAAATGCCAAGTCTTTTTTCCCACAGAGCAGCCAGGGAATCTGAACAGCTGCCTTTTGGTGAGCAGCCAAGCGCTTACCCACTGTGCCACCAGGGCTTGTCGGAGCAGAGCTCGTAATGTGTCTGCTACCGATCTCCCCCCGGGACCCTTTCTGAACTGAAGGCTGTGCAGCCCGCGGTGGGCGGGTGCCCTGGTGACGCCATACCTCCTCAGTTTCTCCTTCTCTTCTCGCTCCCTTTCTTCTCTGCGCTTCAGACGCTCCTGGTTTCTCTTCTCCTGCTTCTCAGCCACAACCCTCTTGAAAAACAAAGGTAGTTCAGACAGTAAGTGAGGAGCACATCACTGGCTCCGTTCATAATGAGCTCTACCTGTCAGCTTCCCACATTGGTTCCCATTAGAGCGCACCATGAAATTGGTCTCAATCCAAGTTATCTTAGTTATTAAGACTGTTAAGTTTGGGATTTCCAAAATCTTTCCACCTTTTTTGAAACACTCACAGACGTTCACATTTCTCAAGAATGCTACACATCATCCCAGAGACTGTCCCCCTTGAACATTCTCCAGCACTCTCCGGGCTTCTGAAAGAACAACGCCCTGCTTATCAGCATCGACACATCTTCCATCAGTGCCCTGAAGCGGCTGTTAGAAACGCTAGTGGCCTGTTGCAGGTTCTGTGGCCAAGTCTTGACCTGCAAAGACACTCAAGTACGTGCCTTTGTGGAGTTTTAGCTCAGATCCCCAAGGCCGCCTGCCCGAGTAAAACCCACTCTGCCATGTTGAAAACCTGCTTGAAGTCACTCCAGCCACAGCTACTCTGAGCCTGGGCATCAGGCAGCGAGGGGAAGTCAGATGCTCTAAGTACAGAGGGTCCCCGGGGTTTTCTGATCCCACCTTATTTGAAACGTCACATTATGGATCATGGGTCATTCCAGTTGACAGCAATGGGACAAACAGTGACTGTTCAGTGTTTCTCATCCTTGAGCCAGTCCCCAAGGTGTGATAAGACCCTCCAGCACCGTCACTTTACAGAAACACACCAACAGCCGCACAAAGGCCAACAGGTTCAGAGCCTCTGGGACCTGGTGTTCCCCTCCTCCCCACCCCCAGGGTTTGGGTCATCGGTCCCTCCCAGAACCCAGCAGGGGAGGACGGGCCAACTGTCATTCTCATCGCAGCCTGCGTGTGAGGAGACAACGCTTAGCCTTTTTTTCACAGGGGTCATCTTAAGTCCTTTCTGAAACGGAGGCAGAAGCCAAGGGTTCTGGGAATCTGCTATTTACTGAGGCACGTAAGACATTTCAAATAAACTCCTAACCCAGTTTCTCCTCTAAAGGAGATAGGACAGAGGATCACATGGACTTCACTGGAAAGAAAATGATGAACACTTTAGGGGATTCTGTAGGATGTAACTAGTTTGGATTCCAGTGGAAAGATTCGTGAGTCTGTGTCACCACCCATTCAACAGGCCGCCGGCTCCATTCACAGCGCTACCCTTCAGCATCAGCTGTTAACAGACACTAGATGCAGCTGACGCGCTGTGGAGAGCACAACACAAGGACGAGCAGCTGGGTAAGGCCAGGGCTGCCCAGGTACCTTCAACTCTTCGAGCTTCTCTCGTATTTCAATGAATCCCAGGTGAAGTTTGCCGCCAAAGTGATCAGCGAGCCGTCTGTCATTGTCATGAAGCCCTAGATACGCAGAGCAGACCTCACAGACTCGAAGTTTCTGCTGCTGGAAACTGGAAGCTGGCATGGAATTCCGATAAACTTCCTACAGGAGAGTGAAAAGTGCAAACAACACTGATCATACGACGGCAGCACAAGTCACACAGCCAAGCACGCTATGGAAACGACCAGAAGCCACGGGAGCACGGCCCCTCTGCCATGCAGCCCAGGATCCCCTCAGCCCCCGCCCCCCAGGAGGTGAGAACGCAGCCTCCAACTAGAAGCTACTTGACGGCAGTGGGCTCTGGGTGACCACGACACACAACACAGCTTTGTGACAAGGCTTTCCGAGTATCCTGTTTCCTGTAATGTTTGTAAAAAAGAGTCACAACCCCAGGACACAACAGTGAAGGAGCTGCGAAGGAGCGCGCCCTCTGCTGGCTGCTGACAGAGCAGCAAAGCTTGTCTTCTGCACAGAGAGACTTCTGGAGAGCAGGGACAGGGCGAGAGAGAAACTGTTTCGTTCCCAGTCATGTCACTCACGAACAAGAAATGGTGCATCTCCCTACCCAGCCTCTGTCCCCCTTTTCCTTACTAAAAGAACCCCCATTTAGTTTGAAGCAGTTTTCACTTAGGTTTAGCCAAGCAGAAGTAAGCAGACGTTGCAGGATAGAATTTACACGAAACTTTTTTAAAAGGTTCGGGGTGCGGGGGCTGAGACAACACAAACAGATGGTTTATCCTGTCCATTCAAGTTCAAGGAAACAGAACACTTCCACCCTTTTCCTCTAGTGGTTTCTCCAGGGTTCACTGGGAAACATCTTAAATCACAAGAAAGCCTGAGCGGCTGTATCGACCCCAGGCAAGGCAGATGTCAGAGCAACGGCAGTACCCAGAGCAGAGAGAGGAGGAGTGGAGTGCATCTAGGGTACCGTGACCGTCCCCAGTGAGATGTGTTCACCTGTTAACAGAGCTTCTAACTACGTGAAGTAAAACGGGCAGAAAGGCAAGGACACAGACAAATCCAGGGATGGCTGAAGACTGCAACCCTCTTCACTCAGCAACAAGAGCAAGCAGACAGAATGCCAACAGGTGCAGGCGATCCAACCAGAACTACCACCCCGCTGGGCTCAACTGTCCTTGACAGAGTGCGCCATCGAACAAGGCAGGATGACACTCTTTTCAAGTTCACATAGACCATTCACCAATGAAGACATACACAGGCCATGAACCAAGATCAGTCCATGTGAGAGGATGGAAACAACACAAAGGACGTTCTCTGAGCACCACAGGGTCAAATCAGAAATGAGTAACAGAAAAGTATCTGGAAAGAACATACCAAATATGTAACATCGAAACGACACACTCCTAAGTAATCCACAGGTTTAACAAATAATAAGCAGCAGTTGCAAATACTGAACTGAATGAAGATGAAAACGTGAAATATGAGAATGTGTGGGCTAGAGCCATGGCAGTGACTGAAACTCTACAGCATAAAAAGGTCTAAGGCCAGTGCTCTAACCTTTCACCTTATGAGGCTAGAATAAGAGCAAATTAAACCCCAAGTAAAGTCGTTACTGCTCTTAGGGGCCACCAAGATGGGTTTTGACAGAGTGACCCCGTGTGACACAGGAGAAGTGCCCCACAGGGCTTCCCAGGCTGTCATCTTTACAGGGATGGACTGCCAGGTCTTTCTTCTGTGGAGTCACTGGGTGGGTTCCAACAGCCAACTTTCTGGTTAGCAGCCGACTGCTTAACCACTGAGCCACCAGGCTTCCCAGGGTAAAGTCGAAGGAAAGAAATACTGAACGCACACGGAAATGAAACAGAAAAAAACAGTAACATCAAAGGATGGTTCTTTGAAAAGAAAAATAAAACTGATACACATCTAGCTAGCTGCATCCAGAAACAACAGAGAAGACCAACTGCAGACATCATTACAGGTTCCACAGATACTAAAAGGCTACTAAGGGAACACTACAAACAACCTTATGAAAACAAACGAGACCATTTAGAGACTGTGTGAAAGACAGATGTCCAAAAGTAACTCAAAAAGCAACAAAAACCTGAGTGTTCCTAGGACCATCAGTTTATTTAATTTGCAACTAAGAAGAGCCTTCACACAAAGAAAATGCCAACCCCAGATGGCTTCACCGGTGACTTCTAGCAAGCATTTCAGAAATACATACTGCCGATCTGACAAACAACTTTTAGAAAAGAGAATTCTCCTCAACTTGGTTTATGAACTAGCCCTACTACCTTGATCCTAAAACCAAAGACAAAGGGTGACGTGAGGTCAGTTACTTGGGACGGCTGGGGAGTAGGGTATGGAGCCTAATCCGCATTCCTTCCACTTGCTCCTTTCTGTGAAAAACATCAAACGTGCTTGAGTCCTTGACGCCTTCAAAAGCAGAGCACACTCCACGCACGGCACTGCTCACCTCCCAGGCCATCAGCAGTGCACGGGCACCGTCAACAGCGGTGGCCACAGCTTTCCTCCCCCTCCTCCCTCCCCCGGAGATCAGCACTAATGTTGAGGCAGGAACAGGTAGGATGGTGGAAGAGCTACTAAGCTGCTTCCCTCGGTTTTACCATCAACTCTAGACTGAAGAACAGAAGCCAGCAGAGGACATAAAGGAGGAAGGAGATGGACTGGCGCTCTAAGTCGTCTGGGGGGGTGGTGGTGTTCCTTTTCTTTGACCTTGTTACACAGGTCCTGGCTTCTTGATGCCCAATATACCTTGGTGAGGGGTTGAAAAAAAGGAGCTGGGTGCCCAGGGTTGAGGAAACAAGGCACAGCAGGAAGACCATAGGCTTAGTTATGTGCAGGGCCATGTAGGCCACTGTCAAGCAGGCCAGTATGACAGCTGGAAGCAGTGAAAACTATGGCAAAGAGCACAAAATAAGTCCATCTGAAGGCTTTCAAATTCTAGAAAACATTAGGTGTGCCAAATAAAATAGGACTCTGCCCGTGGGACACTCCACTCTGACCCAGGCTGGGGAGGAAGATGACAGGCAGCTGCAAGGGTGCCAGAAGACTGACTGAGGCGGGAAGAAGACAGAGAATGCTGGGGTTGGGGGCACAGTGGAGGGGAGGCACCAGAGGGACCATGTATATGCAGTATGTGTGCATCTGTTCAGAAGACTGACTGAGGCGGGAAGAGGACAGAGAATGCTGCGGTCGGGGGCACAGTGGAGGGGAGGCACCAGAGGGACCATGTATATGCAGTATGTGTGCATCTGTTGTGTGCATTGGACTAGTTTAGCTCATTTACCAGTTTTAGATTTCAACAGATTCATGGCTCCAAATTAAAAAAAAAAAACAACTCATTTTGGAACACAACCCATTATTATGACAAAAACCACTTAAATATTTTTATATTGGTTTAAATCTCCTTTAAAATAACTTTTTAGGACAGCCTTGGAGGCGGGGCAAGATGGTGGACTAGGCAGAAGGATTGCACAGACCCTCTTCAACAAACAAAAGGGAAACCAATTAACACAGACACAGAAGATAATCTTGGACC